TTCGCTTTTTGCTTTCTACAGCATACGCAATGTGTTTCAATAACTCTTAGTGAAGATCTCAAGTGTAGTACAACAAATTGTTGATGAATGACGGAATGAAAGTAGTCGACGGACTGATGTTCGTGCTTAATGTGATAGAAAGGTAGAAACAATCGGATTAGGCGATGGCGGCTATCCAAAATTTTTGGATGGTGTGCTTCCAATGCGGTTGCGGAGAGGAGTTCGATACGGCCTGTAGATCTAATTAAACCTTTCGGTCACATAAGAGGCGAATAAGATGATATACGGCTCGATATTCTTACATGTTTTTCGGCTGCTACTTGCTTACATTTCGCTGGGAAGGACTCTAACTGGGAAAGTTTCAAAAGTTTTTCCTCTGCAATGAAAATTATGAATTTTGACCTTATCTGGCAATCTGAAAAGTTTATTTTTAGTTAATAGTCTCAACGTATATGCGACCAGCAGCTCTATCTTGGATAACGAGTTATACTCTTCCCAAAGGAAGGCAAAGTCAGTCGAAACTGCAGTGCGAGTTCAACCACTGAAGTACTGTAGTGCTGTTAGTCTACATGAACACGTTGGAAATATTCAGTGTCAGAGCTTTCGCGATATTATCCTTCAGGCGACTAGCAAGAAGCGCAGCTTGAAGTTTCAACTTCGGAATTGAAAGCATCTTCATCAGGGCTACTCTTGCTTTACCGAAGTCAAACAGTAGTTGACATCTAGAATAGGCGTATTTCTGAGCGCGAAGCAATGCTACAGAACAGAAAACGTCCAAGGAGCTATCACCGAACATGTGCAGCTCAACCTCATCTACTGGGAAAACAAAATAGCAGCGACGTAATTTGAGCTGCCATAAAATTGGCAATCCGGAGTGCCTTTCAGTGAATCTGCGGCACAACTCATTTGGCAGTGGGTCGTCCCACTGTTGGCCACTCAATCTCCATGTATCTTTCAGAAGCAAACTTGCGCGTACGGTAAACGGGGCGACAAGACCTATGGGGTCGAACAGGGAGGACACAAAACTAAGAACCGATCGCTGTGTAGCAGAGTCTTTGAGCTGGCGGTTAACTTCTCTGCTCACAACCAACGTATCGGTGACGTGATCCCTTTAGAGACCGAAAACTTGCGATGCAGTTTCGGGATTAATCACAGTGGTAAGAATTTACTTACTTTTGTTAGCGCCGGTTTTAGGGGGATTTAGTTTTAAGGACAAATTGGGAACGTTGCTAAATTTTTTTGTAAGATTAAAACCGCCCAGCTTGAGCAGTTCAACGAGTTTCAGGATTTTTCACAGGTCCAAGGTAGTCATCCATGTAAACGTTGTTTAGCACGGCGTAAGCGGCTTCGTGGTAACGATCTTGGTTGTCGACGTCTGTTCGGCGAAAAGCATAGTTAGCATATGTAGGAGAATATTTCGCTCCAAAAATATGCCTTGTATAATAAAATACGTTCAAATCTGATGTGGGGTCCTCCCGCCACAAAAAACGCAAGGAAAGTTGATCGCTTTCTAGTAAACCGACCTGCATAAAAATGCCTTCATTATCTGCGGAAACTGCGTATTTGTGCTCTCGGAACCGCAATAAAAGTAATTGCTTCAGGTTCTGAAGCAGTTGGGGGCCGACGAGAAGGGAATTATTCAGTGACTTACCGTGAAACTTAGAAGCATCGTTCAAAACGCGCCGCAATTTGCTGGGTTTGTTCGGGTTTAAAACTGGGTGGTGTGGAACGTACCACTCTCGGTATGAACGGTTTTTTGTGTCGTGAGGGCTAACCGTGACTACTTACCTCTTCTCGACATCAACTCGGATTTCCGACGCGTATTGAGTTTTCAAATTCAAATCTTTCTCTAGACAATTTTCAAGAGACCTAAATTGGACCAATGAAGCGTAAAAGTCATAGGGAAGTGAAAGTTGTCTTCAGCCCATAGCATTCCTACAACATAAAGGCTGCCATCAAGAAGCTTGTTAGAGTCAAGAGTTTTTTTAGCACATTTATCAGCTGTGGAACGGGAATCAGCTTGTTTAAACGTGCCATATGATTCTAACTCGTACCATTTATTTACTTGTCCGCAAGTGCTACATGTTCAACATTGCACTTGAAAGTGGTGGCTCGAACACCAATTGGTGAGGGAAGCAAGCCATTGAGAACCCAGCCAATGGGCATACGGACAGCGACAGGAGTATTTTGATTTCTTCAATGGAAGTATTCGAGAGGCTTGCTTGTACGAAAGACATATTGCTCCAATATCGTCTCAACGTCGGAGTAGTGGTAGACAAAAAGTTTAATTGGCTGCAGATGTGGAAACCTGTCCTGCAGAATGGGACCGTCAATAGTTTCGGAACCAACGCTAAAAGTGTCTTTGACAAACGGCGTAACCCTATTCGAGTATTCATGGTGGTCGAATTTGGCAAACACATTCACTTCGACTTGTTGCTTGGGAACGGATTCTGTCGAATTGAAGCCACTTACCAGAAAATCTAGCTTGTGGCCAGTTAAATTTAAACGCTGTGCTAGGTCCACCGAGACCCATGAGTGGGTCAACAGGAATCGCAACAGCAGTGGTCACGTCTGTGCTTGAACTTATTTCCCGTTAGTCTCCGAGTTTAGGAGTCCCGTTAGTTTCTTGTAAGACGGCGAACCGGCTTTGTTCGATGACGAAGTTTGCGGCTTATTTGAATTCGGCAAGGCGGTATTGTTTGATTTTGAATGGCTTTTATTTTTGCTAATACTCAACTCTTTGTTTGCAGGCCTTATGCTGAAAACTTTCTCAGCACCATGCAACAAGACGTTGTCGGTGCTTTCACAACCATGCTTAGTGCATTTGCGGGTTTGAGGGCATTGCTGGAACAAGTGGTTAGGTTGCAAGCACGCAAAACATAATCTATTTTGCGCGGAGAACTGAGCTCGTTGAGTTGGGGTATTTTCCTTTAATACAGAAAAACTGCAGATTGTGTGTTTACCCTTACACTGGAGGCACAGAGAATAAATTGGTTTTTCAACTTTTCAAGCAGCGGCAAAAACTTTTTTGGGTGGTTTATGGAAACCGGTCTTTAGAGTCTCCTCTTGTCGTGACTTATTCTGACTGACTAGCATATAAGTTCATGTGCCTCCGCCTTGTCGCCGAGTCAGTCATTAAAACCTGAAACGGTTGGCTATCTCCAACCTTTCTTTATAGAGTGAAGACACCACGATTCGTTCATATTTGGAGGCAATTTCGAATTAACTTCAAAACGGATGTACTCTTCGAAACGAATTTCAAAACGGATGTTCTCTTCGAGGCGTACTCAGATTCTAACGGTTTTAAAACAGCGACAAAACTGGATAAAGGAAGCAAAACTGATAATGCTTTCTGAATTTTGCTTTTTCAGAGGGGAAAGTTCAAAAGTTTGTCAAGATGAGCCACCAGAACCAATTCTGGCTGTCCGAATTTCCTCTTCAGAGTTTTCAAAGCGTTCTTGTAGAATATTCCACTGTAAGCGAATTCGGCAATTGCATGCTTCGCTTTGGCTAAAAACGAGGATTTTGAGATATGTCAACATCATCACTTAAAAAATTTTGCAATTCTGAACTAACTGAACCATTGGAGCCACTGCATTGGATTTCCGCCGAAAGAAGACAATTTCTACTCAGGCAAGGGACCTTTCTGGCTCAGTGTCAAGATTTCAGCTAGATCTTGATTAGTCATTGGTTTACTGCCCGAGGACGCAATTGGACCAGATTGTTTGTTCTCACTTGTTAAAGAGGCCATCGGCGAATTTGAATAGGTAGCGGCGTCTGCAGCATTAGGATTGCCGACATAAAAAGTTGTCCGTCCACTTGAGAACGGTTGAACATTCGATGACATAATTTGGGTTAGGGGGAAGGTGACTGCTGGAGGACTGAGAGGATCAACGTTAGTGGGTTAAAGCGGTTGGTACACAAAACTTGCAGAACTATATGGGAAAAAAGTTTGTTGAGCAGTGGGCATTGAGATCGACGTGACATCAGACTGATGAAACTTACTCTGCATCGAAGGGTTGTAGCTGTATAAATTTGTCAAAGGTCGCTTTTCGCGCGGCTCATATGTTCTATTAACATTTGGATTTGCCAAGCTGACAGTTGTATCTGACGTATGAGGGACGTTAACACTCTGTGAGTTTGTACACGTGGTTTCGAAATAATCAGAATATGGATGAAAGTTGTGAATCATCGTCAGAATTCTAACAAAGGCGGTCAATACTTGAAAATGACACGAACTCGGAAGCAGTTTCCAGGTTGACACTTTGGACTGGCGCCACGGGCTGAACTACTTCCTGAGCTGCGAGTTGAGTGTTCACCCAACTTTTTGTCCTGTCTTCCTCCGTTTGGTTCTCCTGAACGGCCATTGCCAATTTCGACCTGCCGCGGCGAAGCCCAAAGATTTCAGAGGCGTCGTCCAGATATCTAGCCTCTTCGATAGTTGATTCGGCTAGCTTTTGACGGCTTTCCTCTACAACCACATCAAGTTCAAGTTGACCCTTCATCGATTGAATCTGGATCTCTTGCGTGTTTTGTGGCGGGAGGACCCCACATCAGATGTGAGTGTATTTCAATACACAGGGCATGTATTTGGAGCAAAAGGTTCTCTTACATGTGCTAACTATGCTTTTCGCCGAACAGCCGTCGATAACCAAGATCGTTACCCCGAAGCCGCTTACGCCGTGCTAAACAACTTTTATATGGATGACCACCTTGGATCTGCGAAAAAGTGTTTTTCGAGCTGACAATATTAATTAGCCTTGTTTGTTTAAACTATTTCTCATCATTGTTGTTAAAGTTAATGTATCCAATAAGGTAAATTATTGTAATCATTTTGTTTTGCTTTGCATCAATTTATTGTTGGTTACTCCAACTTGCTAACACGACAAGCTGTTCCAATTCGAACGCAAATTTCTGTGACAGTTTTTTTGGCTTTCTATATCTGTTACGCCTGCTACGCGAAGTAAGAGAAAGAATTCAAGTAAAATTGACTTCCCAGTTGACAGTAAACATTGTATTAAAATGTACTGTATTAATCTACTGTATTAAAAGACTTTTTATATTGAACTTCAGAAACAAAACAATCAGGAGGGCGGGGACTGAATAATTCAATCAGAGTTATCTAGGAAAGTTTAGACGCTCAACTGATTCACTTTTTCCTTTATTTCCTCAAATCTTGCTTCCAAATCCTCCTTGTCGGATTCGGTGAATAATTTTATTTCTGTTGTCAGTTTCACATGTCGTTGAACTTTGAATCGAATGAATCCGACAGTTTCTTCGATTAGCATCAGAACAAAGTGTAACTTCGCTTCTTCGCCATTATGACCGTTAGAGCATTCACGAAGGTATGATAAGACCTCTAACAACCTCTTGGTTTCATTCATCTCTTTTGCAGCAGGGTACTGCTCAACCAAACGATCCAAATATTTCTTTATCGATGCAGCCCAAGAATCCGAAGTCTCACAACCGCTGGGGTGGCCATTAGCTGAAACTATCAAATTGAAGAATCAGAATTGATATTTTGCGGCATTTTTTCAGAAACGAGAGATCAAAAAGTTATCCTGTGAATTGTTTCAAGAAAAAAGGCTAGTTTCAAAACTTAAGACAAAAAGATTAAATCGCAAGCCGTAAACATCGTAAATAAAACAATTTGAGAACACTTGAGTCGCAATAAAAGTGCTTTGTGATATGGTCTTACATAGATTAAAAAACATCTGTTGACTTTCAAAAAACAAATAAAATTAAGCAAAAATTTACCTTGAGATTCGGTTCTTTCCCTTTGGCTCGTCACTTCGATAGACATTCGGATTGACTCGCCACTTCGATAACTTCCATTCCTCGGCTCAAACTTGCTTTTATCGCTCGTAATAAATGACGAACACTTCGAAAACTCGAAGTTCCCCAAGTTTGTGTGCCCGTTGTGTTCCATTTTCGCTGACTCGAGTTGCTTTAATTTACTAAACACAAATATTATAAATTGTTCATTGATTCCACAAACTGGTTCCGGATTCCACACATTTTGTTACAGGTTCCACACATTTTGTTGCGAGTGGTTCTTCCCCCCTTTCAAATTCAATTTTGAAAAGCTTATTCACCGTTATCATAATGCAATGAAAATTGGCATGGGGAACAAATCGACAAATGTGAACAGATTTGTTCTTCATATTTTACTGCGTCACATCACGCATTTAGCCGCAATAACACGTAAAACAACCAGGCTCTTTTCCAGTTCCCTCCTTTTCAAAATACCGAGTTTTATGTTTGTTTTACGTGTTATTACGGCTAAATTCGTGATGTTACGCTGTAAAGTATGAAGAACAACTCTTTTCACAGTTGTCGATTTGTTCACAACGCCAAACTTCATTGCATTATGACAACGCTAAATAAGCTTTTTAAAGGGAGGGAACTGGAAAAGAACCAACAAACATAAAACTCGGTTTTTTCAAAGGGGGACTGGAAAAGAGCCCATAACTTTGTCCCATGCAGGTCCTATAATTTCACAGTTACTAAACTTTTAAAAGGGTTTTGGATATTAAAAAAGATTGCCATTGAACCACAGACAGTTAGCTTCCTTATGCAAATAGTTGCGACTATCAGTAAAACCAGCAGTGCGAGAAAAAAAAACAAATCAAATTTGTCAAGACTGCTCCTCAAGAGATGATTTGAATTTTCAATTATTCCATCTGGATGCCAATTTTCAACAAAAAGCCCCACACCGAAATTGATTCGAATGGCTGCTAAACAGCTGAAGTACCCCTAATCCTCTTGAAATATTTTTATTGAATTTTTTAATCCAAAGAAGAAGACAACTCTAAAACTTTGTGAGCTAAGTCCGGGGTGGTCTTCTTCTCATAGAGTAATTTCAGATAAGGTACCTTAAGAGGTCAAACTGTGAACTGGGATGTTCTTGGATTCCAGAGACAAATCTTTAAACATGTTCCAAAATGTAAGTGGATTGCTCTTACAAATTTTCAGTGGTTTCTGCGTACAAATAGCTGTTATGTAAATTTTGTCGGCAAGTTGATTTTGCTGCAGATTCCGCAACGAGCGAAAATAGGTAGTTATTCCGGATTGCGCAAATGTAAGTGGGTTCCGCTAATTGATGCTGATTCCGCTTTCATCATGCGAATCAGCTTACAATTTGCGAATTCCACTTACAGTTGCGGATTCCTTAACAAACTTGTTACAGTTACTTTAGTTTACTAAACACAAATATTATAAACTGCTCATGGAATACACAAATTTGGTTGCGATTTTGGGCAATACAGTGTTTTGACTATTTGTCTGTGGAATCCAAAACAGCAGAGAATTTCAAAGAAAAAAAGCAAAGTCGCGGATTCCGCAACAAATCTGATTTTTGCTTGTTGCTAAATCCGTTTACAATTCATAAAATGCACAGTTTGGCCTCGTAATATATACGGTCTGCTCGTTACGCAATCTTTTTTCGGCCGGATAAGTTCGTACAACTTCTAACTCCAATACCGATCCTTGTCTTACTCTTATATTTCCTAGTCTCAATAGAGCTGGTAATATACAGGTTTGTGCGAGGTTAGTGGAGATGACAAAAAACAATTGTTTGTGATATTTCGTTTCCAATCTCTGAACTAAAGTACGGATAATTTCAGTTTCTAGAAATAAACAAAAGTTTAGTTTTGGATCATGATTCGTTATTTATTATAATTTTACAGTGAAGACTTCAACTTATAAAGTAAATACTAGTTTTAACCTGGTTCCACACATCCAGGGTGTAGTAAGTTTTTTGAAAAATAGGTTTTTTCTTGTGAGGGATGGATGAAGAGTGTCTTTAAAGTTCTTTGTAAGGTAGTTGTGCAGAGAAAGCCAGTCCTATGAATTACTTTTGATGTAATGGTGGCATTAGGGTTGTTGTGAATCCAAGGAGATCGTATCGAAAAGCACAGTTCTTGTTAAGTGTTGATTTCGAAGACCAGAGCGAGATTACATGCATTCTCACCATCTGCTCGTGGTTACTCTGGTTCCGAGATAAAAAAAATTTAGATTTTTCTGAGTGAAGTGCTAAGTGACAAGGACATGCATGTTTGAGTTTTAGACATCGAAATTGCTATTTTTCTCCTTCAATGGATTCAATTGCTGCGGTACCAGCTCTCTACTTTAAATCCTTTAAGGGTTGAGACTGCAGCAAGCAAAGGCGATCGACTTACCATTGAGTTTCATCTCCCTTTTTCTGCTGTTATTTATAATTTTTTTTTTGAGAAATCATTTAAAATATATTTGCACTTTTAGTGGCTCATTTTTAAGTTTGATGTTGTTTGATTTTTTGCACAAGCTATTAGTCAGTTCGCTTATTTTGAAGAATTGCTCAAACTGCAGCCCCTCTTTTTAAAAGAAAAAGAGCGTGGGACTGCCGGAGCACATGCTAAGGTTTCCCTCGAGCGACTGGTGGGTTATTAGGCCTTTTCGGGTATATCTGTGTAAGTCTCATTGAGTAGAATCTCAAATTGTTAGTAACTTTTCCCTTATTTTGTGTTTCCTGATTTCTTATCATGGTTGTGCCCTTTTCTTTCAAAAAATTAGTTATTGCTTAGTGCCGTCTTCTTGAGTTTCACTAAGGTCTCATGTGGTTTTAATAAAGGGTGGAATTATATTTCAAAAGAAAATTTTAACCATTTTTATCATACTTAAACCGAGTTTAAGTTTTACTGTTCATGTTAACAGTGTGATTGAAGTAAGCTGCGTTGATTATTTAATGTTATATCCATATTCCAACCGGTTGAAAGGAATGTTTGAAACGTGTGACAGCTGTTTGAAATTGGTATCAATTAGTTTTTAAAATTTGAACTCAGTTAATTATCAAAATTTGTCGTGAAAAATTTATTTAAAAATTTTGAAGAGTTTCTGTAGAACTGGGTGAATACATGAGGCAATGCGGAGAACATGAGAAAAATGATGCACAGTGAAAACTTACTTTTGCTGTAACTTATTACCCATTTTTAAAATGTAAAAAATATTGAAATTACTAATTGGGTATTGTGTTAGTGAAAATACTAATTGGTATAAATTTTTTTGAATATGCTGCACTTTGTTAGCTTTTTTGAATTCATTACAAAACTTTTGATGGGTATTTCAGATTTATTTTGAGTTTTATAGAAGCAAGTAATGAAATCAAAAAGACGGGTGAGAATATCGTCATTAAATAGTATGTATTATTTAAACTTATTAGTTTGAAAAGGAAAATTATAGGTTACGTGGAATCTGATTCTGGAAAGAGTCCCTTGGAATAAAGCTTACCGATTGTTGGCGGGGTCTTTACAAGCTATTAAGTTTTTAGTACTAAGAAGTGGCCAGAGAAGCTCCAGTACTTGAATGATTTTGACTTGTTCAACGGTGATACTGAAGTTGTGGCTAGTGTGTTGTATGAGATTAAATATTTTGCGGTTAAGTTTGATTACACGGATCTTTTCTAAAAGGGGAATTTCAATAGGTTGGACAGGCTCTTGTGGTACAATGAGTGGGCTGGATTCTTGGATGCGGAAGGGATCCAATTTAGGAAAAAATATGTACATTTGACAAACGGGATCGTAATTACGATGTGTGTCAAGCAGATTTGTAGCTTCTGCAAAAATCACAAATAAGGTCATCACTAAACATGAACCACTTAAGTTCAGAAAAGTTTTGAAGTAAATGTATAGTATTTCACCGAGTCTAATATATGAGCTGCAAAAGGGAGTTGAAAACTCGGCGACTTTCTGACTATGAATGGCAAATCTATTGGTTTCGTTTGCCGCAGTCACAACCCAAACAAGATAAAATGTTTGGAGTCGACGCCGCATTAAAGGTATCCATTGACAGCAAACAATGATCAACTCGATGTCGCAACGCAAGTATACATAGCCTTGTCACTTGAACTTCCTTAGGGCTGGTGCTTATTTCATTTTCACTAGGAAAGGTATTAGGCTATGAAGTTGCACGAACCTATCCAGCCGAAGGTAGATAGCATAATGAACAGACGGTGGAGCTTATCCGAAATTACTCTAGAGAAGACCACCTCGGGCTTAACTCAGTTTGTTTCTGTTTCTAATATTGTTTCTCGGATGAAACAAAAACTATTGTTTCGAACTGTTTGGTGCAGTTGAAAAATATCTGTCTAAAATTAACAGCTTTGTGATAGAAATGGCACGAAACATAAATTGCCCCTGATTTCATTGATTTTTTATTACTGTTTATCGTTTATCTCGTATTTTTTATTCAACCTAGGAAAAAAATATAGAATAATTTTTCATGAATGTTTCATAACAGATCGATTAAGCGAATAATCAATGTAGCGATGATTAAACCAACTATTAGCATGCTGATTTAACAGTAAGTTCTTATTTTTATGATTTTCGAAGAAAGTGAGGAATAGATATGCTCAAGGTTGTTCTTTATTCGGACCAACTTTCAAAAGAACTTTTCTCGCGGTGGATCGATACAGTTCTGAATTTCTAAGAAGGCGCGGAAAATAATATGCTCGGGGTGGATTTTGTTCCGTCAACTTTTGTCTTCTTAACGGAGCTTTTTTGACAAGTGTTCTACACTCGAGGCTAATTGTCAGCGAAGATGTGCTTGCTTTGCAAAACGAAGTGAATCCAGCAATTTAGTCTTTTTAAAACATTACGAGACGCTAAACTCGCCCTTTGTGTTTTATAAAACAATTGGGCAACAAAAATGGAAAAATAGAAGTTTTTTCTTTCAATTTTTGCAACCATTTGGCTTTAAAGTGCAGTCGGAACAGAACGTTTTGTTTTTTTTTCCAAAAACAAACTTTTTTCCTGATAAATATGATTTAAACAAAAAAACCAAAACAACATTTTCTCAATATAAACCAAGTTTGCGCATAAATATATTTATCAAAAACAACAAATAATTCCAATTTAGTTCAAACCTTCTGACGTTTTCCTTGGATCATACGGAAAAAGCGAAACATTCAAGGCTGCACCCTAGGATGAGACGAATTGTTCTTTTAGATAGACTTTTCTGAGACAAAGCTGTTGTCCTGGTTCTCTTTTATAGAGAAATCAGGGCTCTTTTTTCTTTTCCCCCCACCTACACTTTTTATAATTAAACATATTGTTCACATAGTCCAATTCTCATGAAATTTGGCATGCAGATAAATTAAGCCATGACAAACATATTTAGTCTGCACATTTAACTTTGTAAAACTACTCGTTTTAACATAAAATTGATGCTTGTATGAGGTGGGGGAGGGGAAAAGGAAAAAGAGCCGAAGTCTAGATAGATAAAGGAAAATTTAACTTATCGCGAAAAAAAGTCAAGATTACAGGCTCATACGCGGAAAACTTACGTGAAGTCTTTGTGTTGCGATTTGCTAAATTCTTTTCGAAGAGAGAAAACAAAATGAGAAAGAATTAACTCAGTAATGCTGCTAGAGGAGCTAAAAATAAACATAAAAATAAAAATCTGCGATTGGAGTTTTGCGATTGGAGTAGTTGACTTGGCGTTATTCATTATAAACTGCACGTTTTGTTGTTTTGTTCATGGTAACTTAATGCAGTCATATGTGCTGGAAAGTCGGTGTTCACAAATTCTAAATGTGCTGTTCATATGTGCTGTTCATCAATGAACGGATTTTGTGATGAGTGCTGGCTATGCGAATATTTGCTTTCAAAACTTGATGGCTTGGTTGAAAATAATGCAAGGACCGGTAAAACTAAACTTGCGCGGTTAGTTGACTGATGCTACGGGTGGCCAGTCAAAAAGCAAAATGGTCTAAGAGCAGAATGGGTCCAAGAGCAGAATAACAGAAAAATATCAATTTTTATTAGCTAATCTGTGAATTACTTATCAGAAATGTCAATAATACCAAAGCAATGAACGTTTTATGCATAATTTGAGAAAAATAATCAAGAACTTTTTTTAAAAATGAAGTAAAAAAATTAATGAAATTAGTCAATACATGCATAATTCATTGTTTTCTAGGTAATTTTTGACGATTCTAGTAATTGTTTTTTATCAATTAGCCCGTATAAACTAATATAAGTCATTATTTTTCTGTTTTTCTACTCTTGGACCCATTCTGCACTTGGACCATTCTGCTTATTGCTCCGCCTCCAATGTTAATACTTTTGTTATAACCAGCAAACTTGAGTTATAAAAATCACTAAGGAGTTGCACGTGCAATTTCTTGCTGATTAAATAATTATGCACTGAGGTATGATTACAAAATAAATTAGCGAGCAAAATAACCAGACTTTTTAAACGATTTCGACTTTCATATGCAAGCAATCATCAATTGTTTAACTTCTAATTCACCCGTTTGTCGTTACTATCAACAAAGGTGAGCATAAAAAATTTCCAGAATTTTTCCATTTTAATTCCAAACATACTGAAATAAGCTAAAATTATGTAGTAAAATAGGCCTTTAGTCCTGACAAAATAATCATAATATCACAAAAATTTAGGTACCTGGAAGGCAGAGTGAGCATAACTTTTCTTTTTTTATAGTGATTGGTCATTAGAGTTGTCAGGGGCGGATTTAAGGGGGGGGGGGGGGCGGCGCACGCCCATCCTCAGGGATCCGACCCCCTGCCGACCCAAATTTCCCACTTTGTAGTAAATTGAGGTATCCATATTTGGTGATGGGCCCTTAAAATTTTCTGAAGGCGCCTTTGGCGCCAATATAAATTACTTTTGAGGGTGGAGCGCGCGCCAAAAAACGCAATTTTTTGGTCAAATTTTTCCTGCAGCGCAGAAATTTTGACCAAAACAGGACTTTTTTGTGATTTGGAAGGGCTCGGAAAATCAGTTTGGTCGACTTAAAAAAGCGTCGACAAAATTTTCAAAATTGTTCCAAAAATCCGCTACCAACCCATCCCCCCCCCCCCCCCCCCCACCCCCCACCTCAAGAAAATCGTAGATCCGCCCCCTGATAGTTAAAATGGTCGCTCGAAAGTGATCATCCTTCTCAGTTTATTTAGTTTAATTTGGCATCTCGATCTTCTGAATTTCAACCACTGAAAAAGCAAGGAAAGGTTTGGCGAGCTATATGGACAATCTTCCTAGCGGTATGTGACTTTTTTCATTTTTCCCTTTAAAATTTATCTGGAAAAAATTGAACAGTTAAAATTTCCATAGAGGAGCCCAAAAAAAGACATTGGAGGCTTTTTTCCAGTCCCCTCTTTTGATTCTTTTCTGAATTTCAATATAAGGAAGTCAACTTAAAGTGAGTTTTCTCATTATAAACTGCATTTAAACGAGGCAGCGTGAACAAGTGAACATAATTTAACAACACTTCTTACATGCAAAATGCCGTGTGAACAATTTTTAAACAGCCTAATTTTGTAGTTTTCCGAGGGGGTGGGAAACTGGAAAAGGGCCAATTCGAGGTTTGGGGTCAAATAAATTTGATTCTGATACAATAGACAAAAAACATAATGTTTGAGGCGAGCGACTGGATCCGTCAGATGCACCATTGAAATTAAGAAAACGCGACGACACTCAAGGTGAAATATTTTCTCTGGCTTTGAATATGTAAAAAAACGCGCGTCAGTGACCCTATGAGTTTTTCAGACGAGTACACAGAAACAATTTGCGCGAAAAATCATTGAGCGCAAAATTTAACCTTAATCTTTTTTTTTTAGATTTGTTTAATTGGGAGAATATCGTGACATTAACAAAATCGGACTTTCGTGCTTTTCTGAAGCTACGACTGCTAACCGGCAATGACTTGACGGACTTTCATCACGACCTGAACAATATAATCCGTCTTCGGCTTCCCAGTGATTGTCTAATGCGACTTGATTTCGTTAAGCATATGCAAATATTTATTCTCAATTGTGCCACAAAGTTCGAGATAAACGAACAAGACTTTCAAAATTCCAACCAAGACTTTATCAATGGCTTGACTCGTCTGATTGGAAAGCAGTGGCTTCCTGAAGTTCACGATCAAATGCGCACTCTTCTTCTGGCCCTGAGTTTTAAGGCTCGTGGTCAAGAGCAGAGGAACAGGAGGAAGGAGATTGACTGGAATGTCGAACTAAATGAATACCTTCAAGATTTGAGGGATATTCTCATAAAGTTAAGGGTGTCACAGTTACGAGGTCACTAGTGTATATCAACAAAACTCAACAAACTTGTATTTGTACCCGTATAAAATTTTGAATGTATAATGAGGATGGTGATGATGAATTTCACTCAGATAATGATTTTATTAAAGACGAAGTGTTAATAAAAAAGGGTAATTTAATTAAAAACGTTATGTCTTTTTTTTAAAGGCACATCATACACTAGTGGACAAAGTTAACGCAAATTCAGGTTTTTACTCTCTGAAAAAATAGTTTTCAATGACGATTTCGAACAAAGTTTTTTTTCAAAATATAGTAAATTTTTTACACAATCAAAAGCAAAGGATCAGAGCTACACTTGTGGAAAAATTAAGCGCCAATTCAGGACTTTATTCTCTCAATGCCTGTTTTCAAAATCCATTTTGGACAACACTAACTTCAAAATTCAGTAAAATTTAGGTAGAACATGAGCAACTGATCAGAGCTACCCTTTAAAAAACTATCAATGTTTGATTTCAAAAACTTACCAATGCCAATTTTCCTCATCTGCACTTACTTTTTCAATTCGCGTGAAAAAATCAGAAACGTCCGAGTATACTAAAGATTCAACAATGATTGTTTCCATTTTCTCGCTGAGATTGTTTCATGTCGCATGAACAGTTTTTCTTACTCCACTTATTCAAGAAAAACATTATGACGATACAAAATTTAGCGCAGATGAAGAAAATTGGTATTTCCAGACCCGTACTAGATTGATAATTTTTGAAACCAAACATCGAAAAGTTCATAGAAGATGGGTCTTATCATTTCCTTTAGATCTATATAAAAAATTACTAAATGGCAACTCAGAAAGTAAGACCCTAAATGTGCGCTAAATATTGTCCACTAGTGTATCACACATAACTCGACATGCCTTATGACGGCTCTTTTCCATCCGACGAAATTGAGATTTGTTATGGAAAACTATATTCACATCGTTATGATAATGCAGTGAAAATTTGCATGGTGATTGATAATGTAAATAAATTTTTCCCTCAAACATTACTTCAAAACATCAGGCATTTAGCAATAATCACATGCCCACACTGAAGTTTCATGGAAATGAACCCTCTACTTGACCGTGAGGGGGGATAATTGGTGAATGGCGGTTGTGAAGGTGGGCGATAGTTTATATTGAAATTAAAAATTAAAAAAATAATTAGAGAGTATTTTAAAAAAAATTTTAGTTTGGCATTTCAATGTAAACTATTGCTTTCAATGTGAAAAACAATGTGATAAGTAAGAAATTAGAAAACGTAAACTGTGAGCTGTTTACGTTTTCTAAACTGCTCATAACTGCACTAAACATGAAATGAGATCATTAAACTTTGAACAAAAAATCATTTTAATCGGTTACAATTGTTAATTAGATATTTCCAGCAGTAGTCAAACAGAACATGCTCTCATTCAAGAATTTCTGCAGAACTCCAAATCGAAGTAAGAGATGATGATGTAGAATTTAAAAGAATCGGTAAATGACATGAACAGACAGAACGCCAACTTCTAATCCTGAAATTCTGCTATTTTGAGAGAAAGGTTTCTTCACAAGCCTCAAAAGCTACGCTCCTCAGAAAAATTCTAAAATAAGCGCATTAATCCTGATCTGACTCCCACTGGGCTTGCAAACCAATACCAAATGCGAGAAGAGAAACGTAAATTAGAAGTCGAGAAACCCTCTAAAAAATTTAGATTTAAAGATAACAGGGTTATTGAGTTTAATTGACGAAAAATTGAACACGCAAATGATACTGTATCCGTATTTTACTCACCTGTCAAAGTTTTCTTTCAAGAAAAAAGTTTAAGCTTTTTGACAAAACTTCGCTGCAAAGCCCTTCGATTTTGTGTTCATCCGAAACTTGGTTTGACTGCTCGGAGTGCGATTCATCTCTGTTTCTTGATCATGCATTTACGTGCGCATGTAGGAGCGACAGATCTTATGAATAACATGCTGGCATTTTCACAGCCTTCAGTGACACATTCGCTGCGAGTTGCCATATTGTCGAATTGACCTTACTTGACTTCTACTCCAATGTCCTCGGCATACCCAATTCACTAATTTACATGATTTTTATGATACCTCACACCCCGTGAGTCGTCGTTCCATGTTCGTCCGTAATTTGTTGAGCACTCATTTCGAGAACTTCTTTTGAAGGTTCTGGAAGGTAATCTGGTAGAAGTCAACTCAGAGACCATCCACCTAAATGTACTCGGTGATTTCAATATGCCCACTGCTAATTGGAACAATATACTGAATTTTATCATAAATGACACAAGCTTGAATCATACTATTCGCAGTTAACACACAGACACATCAACATATCAAATGGTTATGTTAATTGGAGCGTAGCTCTGCAACAGCCTATGATTCTCTCCTTCCCCTTATTGTAGGTAGTGTCGATTTTATTGCTTCTTCTTATCTTTATTCTTTATTCAAGTATGTACTAATTATAAGTAGAGAAAAAGGCGTGAAATATGAAAATGCGCACAAATGAAACTCTAGAAAACTTATCAAAAGCAGTTATTGAAAATTATCGCCCAATTCCTTTGCTTACTAATATATCTTTTAATCTTGAGATTTTTTTTACCACCCTTACGTTGCTATTAAGGTGATAATCAATTTTAGTTAACATGGTTTCCGTAAAGGTCCTTTGACGGTCACGCACTTATTGAGGTTTTAAAATGAAATCTATCAAAAAACAGATTGGATTGTTTATCTAGGTTTGAGCAAAACTTTCGACTCATTGACCAATGCCTTCGCCTTTTTGAATTAAATAGATTTGAATATGATTTAAACTTTTCAGATCTGTTTTCTTCTAGCCTTCAAAATAGTTCTCAGAAGATGATTAAAATTAGAATGCTGTCCAATTTTTCACACGTTACTAGTGGAGTTCCTCAGAGAGGAATCACTTTTGTTCCTCATTTTCATTGGCGATATGCTTGAATTTTTGTCTGAACTAGTCTAAATTTTTTCTCGGTAGTAAATCTATAGTAACTTTTAGGAGGGAGCGCTTGCCAAAAAAAAAACGCATTTCTAAGGTGAAAAATTTCCAAAAAGCGCCAGGAACGCTTTTTTGGTCTGTAATTTGAACAATTCGCCTGCTTCGCGAAAATTTTGATCAAAATAAGCTTTTCCTGACGTCTTTTTTTGAGAGAGCTTGAAATTTGGAAAGTTTTGGTCAACTAAAAAAATATATAACAAAAACGTTTTTGAAAATCTTTCCTCACCCTTAGAAAAACCCTGGATCCGCCCCTGGTATTCTACGAGCTACGAGTAGAAGTTTGTTCTGAGGCAAATCCTTTGTTTCTCAAATGACATAATGGCGCGTACAGAGAAATTCCTTTATTTCTGACCGGGAATAATTTAAATATAAATTTTCTTATGGCCAGAAATTCTTTGTGAAATGTTTAAAAAAAGAAGGGCGTTCTTAAAACTTGTTATTTCTGACGGAAATTAGCTAAATCTTGGCTATTTCTAGCTAGAAAAACCCTCTTATGCGGTGCTCGAATACCCAACCTACTATTTTCAACGCTGTAGTGCTAACAACTATGCCACATGTCCTGATACTGTACGATAGTTTTTACCAATCTAATTTGCATTGGATTGCTACTGATATTGTGACTACTCGAAGCATATTTATCTCGTTGCGGTTGAGCAGTGAATTGATATCTGGTTCTTTTTTTCAGGAAATGTTATTTCCAAACTAAGAAAGAAATTACTGTAATCGGCAATTAGAGAAATTACATAAAATCGGCTAGGTAATCTATATAATATTTCTATCCAGAAAAACAGCTTATCTCGCAAGGTATTATCAAACAAAATATTGAAGCACATTCGAACAAAAAACCTAATATGGACTAAAGCATATTGCTTAAAAATGAATAGATACATCAAAAGAAATTGACGTCAGATTCGGTTGACTTCGACGTCACGCAATATTAAATGATTATTGGTCTAATTTATCTTTTTTCTTTTTGTGGTATTTGCCTGGTAAAATACAAATTTGCATCAATTACTATTTTTAGCTTTCGCATCAACATTTGCTTTGAAAACGTTTTAAAAAGCTCAAGCAAAGTTGTCTTTTACCAGGCAAATACCAAAAAAAAACAATAAAATGTTTTTAATGCAAATGTTAATGCGAAAGCTAAAAATAGTAATTGGTGCAATTTTTTATGTGAATTCAAACCAAATGATTTTTCTGATTGTCGGAGACACAAAAAGCCATAATTTAATCGAGTAAATCACATAAATGTTTGAAGCTAGCGGTTTAAAAGCCTTGGTCAGTGCAGCAGCAAAAAGGATATCAGAGTAAAGAAAAAATGAGAAACTATACTACCGCCCGGCCTAGACACTTCATTATACGTCACAAAAACTTAGAAAAAGGGCCATTTCTTCAATCCAGACGACCTATCATCAACCAATTAAAGCATAAAATCAATGGTAAAACAGTACATTAGATAATTAGATCATGTGGGATGATGACATAAATTTTAATGTTTTGAGCCCGACGGGCAAAACCAAAAAAAGGTGGGCTATCTTAAATACATTCTGTTTTATAACAAAAACTAACCCACAGAGACAGAGTACCTGTTAACATCACTGGCCAATCGTAGCAAAAAACTTAACAAAAAAGAATGAATTCAAGGCTAATTGCTTCCCAGAACATTTTCCCATTTAATGATTTGCTTAAAATCCATTATAATTAGCTTTCGCTTATCGTTGTCAGCGCACTGGTTGTATCATGAAAGTATAACATCAAAACTCTGGCCCAGCAATGCGAGTTTACTAACACTAATAAATTTGGTCATCGAGCCCTCCTTCTGGGGTCTAAACTCTCTGCCCTTGATCATTCTACTGCTTTTGCTCGTTTGTGATGACCGACATCCCCCAATATTTTTCTATATTTTCCTTCGTTTTTTGTCTTGTGCTGCTTCTCGTCTGCCCGGTCTAGTTTTTTCCGTCCAAAAATGTTTAGCTACTGTTTGATAAGTAGTCCCTCGAGATCAGAACTCGGCGTTTTGGTCCTGACTTAGTGATGTTTTTTTTTCTGTATTGCTTCCCCTTGTTTTTTTTTCTGTTCGGATTTCACCGTGGAATCTCGAGCTTGCTTCGGACTCGTGCATTGGCTGAGCATCCAAGCATTACAA